ATGTGAACATCAAATCTGAAATCTAGTTATTGTGCGGAGGTAAAAAATGTGACTGCTTCGGATCCATATCTTTAAATGGTGGTGCCATTTCAAATACTGAGAATCAAAAGCAATATTCTTTTCCTGATCATTTTATTTTCCAAACTTGCATGGTATTCGAGACGGCAAGTTTGTATGTGTTAGAGTGATTTATCTCAATCAGATTTAGTTTGTAAGTTTAGTGAAATATTACCCCACGCAAGAGTTGGAATCATTTTCGATAGTGATGTTGACCACGCCATAATAACTTTGAATTGCCGTCCGGATGTTCTTGTGCAGTCCTCAATCTTATTTACGAACACAAATTGTTCAAGTAGCCATTGAGATGTAACTGAATTCTTCCATAGACATGAGGTTTTGACTATAGACTGAGGATCAGGGAGTTTAAGGATGACTACTCCTACTAAACATTTACGCTCAACAAACTGGCACAAAAGAATATGGCTTCACTTTTTACTTCAGTATTCTTTTCTTATTGAAGCGTATAGTTGCTCATTGAGAATACTTATTCTAGAGAGTAACGTGGAAAGCCAATTCACTGTTGATCAAAGTAGGATATGAGAAAAAAGCATTGGCCTCAAGGTTTCACTTTGACGAAACTATCAAAATAGACGATCGAAATTTATTGTACGCCAGCTCATCCTCTGAAATGTCAGCGTATTACTCCTTTGTTCGTTTGTGGAATTCGGTTCTCAGCCGTTATTTGTGCACTTATCAATGCTATTTTTATTATTGACCTATTCTGCAGATGTAGACGCGCCATAAAGGGACTCGATAATTTATAGGCTCTTATACAATGGACACAGAACTGTCTATGCTGACTTATCTCGTCGTGATTTTATGGTCTTCTGATGAACATATTTAGGCTGAGGATAGAGCTAAACTTACACTATAAAATAAAATACGTTATTTTGTGACCACGTCTGCAAGACTGGGTTAAACGATCTTTACGAGACCTTCCTGAGTTCACTATTTTCCGCCCCCTCCAAGCGTTTAATGGTCAACGTAACTTATCTCAGTTAGTTTATATTCAGCTTCCACGATCATGATTTTAGGAACCAATGTCATTCGCTGATGCTTTCGTCGATCAGACACATATGACGTCTTCGTCATGGTTTCACATGCATAGTATGACTCGAAGACATATCTATAAAGCTCTATTCGTTGTCGTGAAAGTTGGTAGTAAATTGCGAAAGTGCAGGAGGAATATAACCCCCTCAGTATTTGTAATTATTAAACAGAACACTCCTAGCCTGACAACTTTAGCAGGACACCGAAAACAGCCAGAAACTAAACTTATCACCCTCAGGGCTTGTTTGATAAGAAGAAAATAACAAAAACCTTGTAATTCTGTAGTTGACAAATATCGTCACCACTCATTTAAACAATAAAACAGACATGGATGTTTTAACAATAGGCTTCTACACCATTTCCATTATTCACGTTCCTACTTTCAAGATAAATATCTGTTGGTAACCTGTCGACCATAGACGTCGTTGTAATGGCACGTGGAGTCGTGATTAAGTAAGATCACCACCACCAAAACAATGACATGACCGTCACAGAGATGATAAAATAATTCACAGCAGTGAATATATTTTCTGACAATATCATGTTATCGAAAGAATATCGGAATCGTGACACAAAAAAAGGAGTGAAATTCTAGAGACATTGGAGGGAAATGGCCGTAACACGAACAAACAGTTTGCGCGTACGGGAGTAGCAATAAACAAAGAGGTTACGTAATACAAGCATGGGTACCATTGGTGATAATATTGAATTTTCCTGTTCAACCAGTCGCGTTCTCTTCATAAAAGTGGATTCACTACATCAGTACGAGTGTTTTCGTGCCTTAGGTACTCATGAAAGCGCTTATTATGTTTGATTTGCTTATAAACGACTCACCTGACTATAAACTGTGTTTTGGATACCAATATACTAACACTTAATAGGAAGAGCTAGTCTCACAGTCAGTGTGTTGGATGATCCCTCTGAATAATTGACCAACTGACCACTACAACTGTGTAAATAATTATCAACTCTGAAATAGATTCTATGCTACGCTCATCACTAAAATAGTCCATCGCAATTATAGGACATCATACTTCCAGTCACACGTAGACACGGTGTGCTGTGTGCCTGATTAATTTTCGGGCTGAAGTTTGCATCCCAACCAAAAATGCAAAATAATGTCTAACTTAAGGTTTGCTATTGGTCAGTATTTGCGTTTTCTATCGTACGTGCTGACTGTGCTAATCTTCATTCACAATGCATGCTCAGTTTGTCATTTTCAACTTACGTGTGCACTAAAAGCGGCAAAACGCGAAACGTAATTGCGCTGTAGTGTATTCGTAACTCGACATGGTTAATTATGGAACAAATCATTACTTTGTATTCGTATCTGTGGCATAGTCACCAGGTTCAGTAAACTAGTAACTGTGATGTCAGAGTAGAAAGAGATTTATCAACTATTTTCAGAAATCACATTGAATCCCGAGGCACATTTCATTGTCCACCCAATATTTAGACTTGGCGTAGAAACTATCAACAGGCCATGAACATACTGAATCCTCATTAACATTCAGGCAAGTATAACGAAATGAAGGACACATTTCTCTACTCTTAGTAACAGCAGTTGGTCATGCCTTTATTCTCGCACTCCCAATATTTGGATTTGCCTTAATATTTAACTTCGCACCTTCTTATCTTTCATATAACATCTGAATATTATTGACGACGGCGGAGCGATAACTTCGGTCCACCGATGTCTGTGGGGCAGAACATTTTGTCTGCCTAAGACTACTTATGATATGACGGGACGCAACTTATCAATGACATTTATTTTGCTTGTTCATGCCAGCCTTGTCTGTGACTCACTTCTGAAACGTTGTACTGCTTTCGCTTCCTAACAAGAAATGCTGCAACCAGCCGACCCATGCAATAAAATGGCAAAAGGGCTCACTCATAACACTAAATGAAATATCAGTGAAGCGGTAAACCAATGTGCCTCACTTATTATATTCTGTAATTCAACTTAATTTCTTACAATTAAGTTCCTGTTGTTCTACTTTATTCAAAAGATTATTTGCCTACTCGTTATATCACTAGAGACTTGTCTTGGATAATTTGCGTAAGTGCAGGTGTACAGTTAGCGATCTAATAAAGTGAGATAGGTTTGAGTAATCGCACATTTTTTTTCCGAAAGATGATCTGCTTAGTCATGGCACATTATGAACAAATACGTTTTCTGGTGTGCTGCCTGCCCCTTCTTTTCTCTTTTTTAGCACCCCAAGCTACGCCTTAAATATTAGTTTTGATATCGACGAAGTCTTGATTGCTTTACGCTGGGGTCTATCAAATTATCCTCCAACACCGGAACACTAACTAATATTAGTGACTTTTGTCTAGGGCCCATGTTCCTGATTTGTGTTATATTTCAAGCTATGGTGTTGCCGTTTCCCTTTCTTAAGCTTATCCTCTGCTCTGTACAATTGACAGATGCAGGGGAATTTGTTTGGTCGGTTTTGTACTAGGCGAATTTGATAGGAACATTCGTAGGATCATTTCTGTTGGTGTTTATGGATTCACTGATGATATGATGATGTCTCAGTACTTTTTCCTTCTAGCAAAATATACCGGGACCATGGAGAGTAATGATTCAACATAAACCCATAGTACTGTCTAGGTAATGTAGGTGCAGCGTCAATGAACCCATGCACTACAAAAGTTGCATATTTTCAGAATGCCTTTATTCTCCGTTTCATATTTTTCTACTGATCATGGTTTCGTTACTGAAGACGCAATGGAGGTTTTTAGGCCACATTGTCGAGCAACGATCTGTCGCCCCATACTGAGATCGTCAACCGACAACTAGCCCCATAACTCCTTTGCCTAGTTGCTATGGTGTAAGAGTTAGTACCGACGCTTTTAGTGAGCATATCACTCAGTAGATTTGAGAGCGGAAAACTATATAATTTAAAGAGGAAAATATATGAGATTTGGGTCACGAAGGAGGAAAATAATAATAGTAGAACTGACTGAATATATACTACATGATGATTCCGTTTGCCCAACTGTAACACTGTCTATTAATGAATGGTATCAAAGTTTGGGTCTTTGGGATTGATAAAATTTTTCAATATGGTTTCGGGAAGTGGGCTGTCTCCTGAAGATGATAGAAGGTGTAGGAATACATGTCAACTAAATTTGTTTCAAATGTTGCCTTTGTTTCCTCTCCCTAGCCTACACTCCGGTCCTCATTAATAATCACTACCAACTAATAAACTAATTTATTTGTTCTTTAATTAGTTATGAAATCTTACTCTTATTAGCATTAAAATTTTCTTCTGATTATTCTCCATACTGTAACTAAATGATCTCAAGTCTGGTGGTGTGATAGCTGTTGGTATCTAGAAAACCTAACACCCTTCTCCATCTCCTCAGATTATTCAATTAATCTATCTCGCCTATTATCTCTGTTTTCTCTCCCTTGCTTGCACTTCGGTCCTCTCTCACAATCCTCACTACCAATTAATAAACTAAATTCATCTATATATTACTCAGTTCCGAAATTTTACTCATATTATCATTTTAATTTATCCTTATTACCCTTATTACTCTCCGCATTGCAACTAACTGATCTCCGGTTTGGTAATGTGACGGCTGCTAGTACCCTACTGCCCTGAAACAAAGGTTTCATCCAAATCCCGAGACATACAAACTCACAAACAACTACCGACTGACTAGAATTAGACAGTCGAGTGGCTAGACCTCCATCCATTGGACATTACCGAACACCTGGAACCGTACCGAAAGAACGATAATCGAGCGCGAAGAAATCAAACTGGTTTACACTAGCTCGTGAAAAAGATATTGGATATAGGACCCTCAAACGACAATCGAGTGGCTAAACCTTCATTCATTGGACACTAAAAATTACCTGGAATCGAACCTAGAGAACAAGAATTGAGCGCAGGAAAATCATGTGGTTTACGCTAGTTATTGAGAAAGATATTGGAAGCTACGTTCTGTTAAGCTATGCTATCTTCTAGGCCATATATATGCAGCGGATATTCAATCCTTTATGAATAATATCTTTCCGCGGTATCTCTCTTGTTTGTTTTCAAAGATAAGTTCTAAACGTTTGGAAAAAGCGATATTCACAAATCTTTCATATAACAAGGTAATTCTGTTTGTAATTGCAACTATAGAAACTTGAAGTCTACTAATTTGAAACTGAATATGAACAGTAGTGGTCTTGCACCTGCACTAGGCACATTCGGAAGTGATCAAAATGCTACTGACTATACTGATCATGTCAGTTTTAAGAGATTAAATATGTTTCAATCCGATTTCGACAAGTACGATTGGCTGATGCATCTTTATGATACTAATAAAACAATGTTTTTCCGATTGGTCGCTAAACACGTGGATGTTATTATGCCTCTGATATACACTCCAACAGTTGGTCTAGCGTGCGAAAATCTTGGTTTGGTGTACAACAGTGGCAGGTTAGTTTCCCCAAACTTCATCCATAGTGCATCTTAGATGTTTTCTTTGCTAAGTTAACAACTATTATTTGAAAAAATCGACAGCATTTATCGCTATGCCTTTATTTAAGTACCTAATTAGTTTACTACCTTTGCTAATGATAGTTTAACAACACGATCAATCAATTATAAAAGTGCTGTGCGAACCAATGTTTTCTACGTAATATAGTGAGTGAATTTCTAGTTGATTTTACTGTTCGCACTATTTTCCTTCACAGTGTCTCATCGTTATCCTGCTTTTTTCACTTTTCGTTTATTGAGGTGATGTGCGGAAATTTCCTTGTAGAGCAAATAACGTGTCTGACTTGTCATCTTTCTCCACGTTTATATACTACTGTAGTAACCTCGTTGTTAGTATACATCCTCTCTGTGTTCTTTCAAATCCTAATCTTCTGGATTATTCAACCCCTCTAGTTTTGACTTTCGAAACGTATCTCACTGAATCATACTTATTGAATAATATCTTCTAGTCATAACCACTCCGATTACTTCTAATACCTTTACTACCTCTACTACTATTGGATTTGAATTGACAATTATATCTCTGTGCTGATGTGGTATGGCAACATGAACTGATGTACTTACGTACGAAGTTCTACGTTGCATCTGACCGACTGACTGACCCTTTCGACGTATTCCAAACTCTGAACAGACAAATCTTTTTGAGTTATTATGTGAACATGTGTTTGAAGTCAATCATTAGCACGAAATCGCTTTATCGATATTCCAACTCTTTACTCTTTCAACTATGTTATTACACACGATTTCTTTTTACTCAGGTTCTAAAAGCACAATTATTCCATCAACCTACATTTTTTTCCGGAATGCATCATGCGCCGTTTACCAGCTTATGAAACAAAATATACACTTATTGTATGAATTTAATTGATTTCCTAATTTCGGCGATTAACATCTATTCTATTGTGTGGATCCATTTACTTGGACAAAGTCCCATCCTATTGATTGGATACCATTGAGAATATAATGTGGAAAACTTATGCATAATCCTTGGTATAAAGAACGTTTAAAAAAATTAGGTCTAACAGGATAGTGATTAAGAACGTTCAGACTAATGCTATGATATAATTTTTATGATAACTATTGATAATCATTATTTGTAAAGCCGTTCATCAGTGTACGGTATCTAGTTGTTTTAGAAATACGAAGATGAGCAAATTAAAGCTAATCTATTGAGCAAATAAATTTGATAGCCATTATGTTTGCAGAAATCGATCATACAACCTCTGGTCTTGCACGAGAATGCCTGATCTCTTGACCACTGAGCCAGTATCCGACGGTGTTAATGTCTAATTTAGGTTGATCCAGTGCTTCTAGGGTTCTAATGATGGTCTAACATGGATTGATTCATGATATCAATAGATATTATATTCTGTGGTAGCCAGTTGCTCCTGAAGCTATTGTAAGCAGCTTAAGCTCTCAATAATTTTTACCATCTCTAGCACTGGTGACAAATACTAACTAAAATCATTATTTCTTTATCCCATGTTTCAATTTTCTGTTAGTTAGATCAAAACTATAGACTCCAAAACATTTAAAAACGAAACTAGATTATAGGAAACAGGGTACAGCATCATAATAATCTGTTTTAATTCACAAACGTTATTATTTATCAAAGAGTATGTAGTTTTGTGAACCCTTCGCAAAAAGACCATTTAAGATAGTAAACAAAGATTGCTTTTTTTGTTATCTCCTACTACTAAGCCATCGCCCACTTGTTTATTTCTTGTAAATTCAACTTTTAGAGGTCTATTCATCACTATCAAAGATAAAGGAAATATTGTTTCAGTTTTGAAGAATTGGCCACACAAAGATATACGAGTAAGATTAATTATAGTTAAAATGATCTGTGTTATATATATGTATATATTCACATACGTGTCTTCAACCGTGTTCGTATCACTCTTATCTTAGTTTCACAAAGCTTACATTTACTCTTACACTATACATTTTCAGTGTGTAACTTATAAGTAGCTTGATAAAACCAGTGTATCAACTTAGAATATTTCTAATACAGATGAGATTAGATAAAAGATGATGCTTGAGTTTGTAATTTCAATAAACGATTTCCGTAGTCTGTTGTTCTTTGAACAACATCGTTTTGTAATTAGCATAAATGATGTTTCTATCTAACTAACTAGACTGCCATCAATGTATCTTCACTTCAATCTAACAGTATTGAAAGTTACACTATTCACATTATTACTTACTTACTTACGCCTGTTACCCCCAATGGAGCGTAGGCCGCCGACCAGTTTTCTCCAACCAACTCTGTCCTGGGCTTTCCTCTCCAGTTCTGTCCAGTTTTTGTTCATTCCTCTCATATCTTTCTCTATTTCTCGGCGTAATGTATTCTTTGGCCTTCCTCTTTTCCTTTTGCCTTGAAGGTTCCATGTGAGGGCTTGTCTTGTGACGCAGTTAGGTGCTTTTCGTAGTGTGTGTCCTATCCACTTCCACCGCTTCTTCCTGATTTCCTCCTACACTGGAATCTGGTTTGTTTTCTCCCACAGTACGTTGTTGCTGATCGTGTCTGACCAACGAATCCGAAGTATTTTGCGTAGACAACTGTTAATAAACACTTGTATCTTCTGGATGATGGCTTTCGTAGTTCTCCAGGTTTTCGCTCCATAAAGTAGAGCTGTCTTGACATTTGTATTGAAAATCCCTATTTTGGTTTTGTTTGAAAGTTGTTTGGAGTTCCAGATATTTTTCAACTGTAGAAATGCAGCCCTCGCTTTGCCAATCCGCGCCCTCACATCTGCATCGGATCCACCATGATTGTTGATGATGCTGCCAAGATATGTAAAGGTGTTAACGTCCTCCAAGGCATCTCCATCACATTATCGCTTATAATATTACTCATCTGTCGTAAATTTTCTACTTGAATAACAATTTATCTATTTGAAATGATGTAGTCAAATCAAACACTTGAAACATCGTTTATTAAATAGTATTTCTGTTGCAGTTTCATTCACTTTCTACACTCACTTTACTCATTCTGTGACGTACTAACCTAAACCAGCAATGAGGAAAATTGATTGGCTGTTTAGTCGTGAAGTTCGGTTCAACACGGTCACGTTTTTCGTACAATTTAAAAATGTTCGATTCTTATGTTCTCTTCATTTCTGTACTCCACTATAGTTTTAAAATTGACTTTGACTTATATTACAGCAGCACTTATGCCAAGCTACCAATATTTTGTATTAAAATGTAGAATTGGTACCAACCAACAAGTTCCGTGACAATTGATAAACATTTATTCAAATATTTATTTCCAAGGGGTCATTTGGAGAAGGTTTTGTACACTGAGATGATAGACTTTTCCAAGCGAATAAGGCATGACTGGACTATATATTACTTACTTTTGCCTGTTACCCCCAATGAGCAACTGGCCACCGATCAGTATCCTCTGACCTGGGCTTCCCTTCCCAGTTGTGCCCAATTTTTGATCAATATTCTCATGTCTTTCTCTATTTCTTGGCGTCATGTGTTATTTGACCTTCTTCTTTTCCTTTGACCATGTGGGTTCCAAGTAAGGGATTATCGTGTGGTGCATCTGGGTGCTTTCCGTAATGTGTGTTCTGTCCACTTCTATCGCTTCTTCCTAATTTCCTTCTCTTCTGGAATTTGGTTTGTCCTCTCTAACAGTAGGCTTATGTTGATGGTTTCTGGCCAACTGATCCAAAGTATTTTGCGTAGACAATTGTTAATCAATATATGTATCCTGTATGATGGCTTTTTTAGTTCTCCAAGTTTCCTCCCTATACAGTTGAACTGTCTTGACATTTGTATTGCAAATTCCAACTTTGGTGTTGGTTGCTACTTGTTTGATGTTCAAGATGTTCTTCAATTATAGAAGTGCCTTCCTTACCTTGCCGATCCACGCCTTTACATCTGCATCGAATCCATCTTGATTATCAATGATGCCGCCCAGATATGTACGGGTGTTAACCTCCTCCAAGGCACCTCCACCAAAGTGATTTGGTTGGCACATGTAGTGTTGTATCGGAGAATCTTGCTTTTCGCCTTGTGTATTTTGAGACTTACTGATACTGAGACTGCTACTACAGTGGTCATCTTCTCTTGCATTTGTTGTTGCATGTACGATAGAAGAGTCAAGTCACCTGCAAAGTTCAGATCGTCCAGCTGCATCTTGGCTGTCCACTGTATCCCGTGCTTTCCTCAAGATGTTGAAGTCTTCATTAACCAGTGGATCACCAGGAGAAAGAGAGAGGATAAGAGTAAGCAGCCCTGCCTGACACTGATCTTCACTCCAAATGAGTTCGTCAGCTGTGTTCCGCGCACGCGTTTGCAGTTTAAACCATTATAAGAATTCGGTATAATGTTGACTGTTTTCTCAGGCACGCCGTAGTGTCGAAGAAGCCTCCATAGTGTTTTCCTGTCCACACTATCGAATGCTTTCTCGTAGTCGATGAAGTTGATGTAGAGTTCTGAGTTCCATTCAATTGATTGTTTCACAATGATCCGTAATGTTGCAGTTTGCTCGGAACACGATCGATCCCTAGGAAGTCCAGTCTGTTGATCTCGAAGTTGGACGTCTACGAAGTCCTTCATTCTGTTTAACAATACCCTGTTGAAGGCTTTGCCTGGTATTGAGAGAAGAGTTGCGCGGATGCTGCCTCGATGTTGGGTGGGTTCTTCAAAGTGCTATACCCACCTGTTTTGCTTTTCATCAATGTTGCTGATTACTTTGCCTTCTATGCTCTTTACTGATCGTTCTGGCTTACGATAGTTTCCGAACAAGCTTCTTTGTTGTATCATACAATTTTCCTAAATATACTTCTCTTGCAGCCTTTTTAGCCATCATTGCTAGGTCTTCCACAAACTTATGATTGTCTGCTCTGATGCTTCTCTTCAGTTGTCTGTTTGATTCTCTGTATTCTGCTTATGCCTTGATTCTCTCTGCTTTCGTTTGGCTGATGTAGATTGCAGCCTTCTTGTTCCTCTCTTGAATGTTTTCAAAATTACCTACAGAGATCTACTCCTTACGATGGTACTTCTTGTGACCCAGAACCTCCTGATATGTTGAAGTGATTGCCTCCTTGATCCCTTTCCAATTTTTCTTCATGGTTGTTTCCTCTACATTGAGTAGATCGTCCAATGCCTGGAACTTATTGTTCAGGGCTATATTGAATTCAGTGAGCTTTTCAGTATCCCGAAGAAGAGCCTTATTAAACCTTTGTGATGTTTTCCGCCTGACTGTCCAGTGCTCTTGAGTTTCGGTTTCATTTTGGTGATCAGCAAGTGGTGATCTGAAGCTACACTAGCTCCTCTCCTGATTCTCGCGCCCTCCATGGTCCTTCTGAACATTTTATTGATGCCGATATGGTCGATTTGGTTCTGAGTAGTGTGATCCGGCTAAATACATGTAACTTTGTGTATGCGTTTGTGCGGGAATATTGTGCCGCCGATGACCAGTTTTTTGAAGTCATATAGGTTTGTGAATCTTTCACCATTTTCGTTGCCTGCTCCCAGTCACTATCGTCCCATGATGTCTTCATATTCAGTGTTGTCCATGCCAACCTTGGCATTCAGGTCTCCCATAAGAATCGTCAAATCCTTTGGTGAACATTTCTCGACGATTGATTGCAGCCTTTCGTAGAATTGATCTTTAACGTCGACCGTGTAGATTTTGGAAGGTGCATACCTTTGGGTGACGTTCATTGTGATGCCCTCTTTCTTTCTTTTGAAGGATGCTTTAATGATCCTGGGTCCATGAGATTCCCATCCTATCAGTGCCTTTTGTGCTTGTTTGGACAGCATCAGTTTGAAACCTTGTGTGTGAGTCATTTTCTTCTTCATGCCTGGAGTATAAGAGCAACTCTCCTGAAGCTAGTTTCAGTTGTCCTACCTGTGTCCAATGCGTTTCGCTGATTCCGAGCACCTCGAGGTTGTATCTTTTCATTTCTGCCACAACTTAAAATAGTCTTCCAGTCTCCCACAATGTACAAACGTTCCATGTACCTAAAAGAATAGCTTATCTGGTTGTCAGAAAGAGCATCGGCCTCGCGACTTCCGAAGGAACTAGGCTTTCATCATCAGAAGTCGTAACTCTTTTGAATGAAGACCTTCTAACTCTCAGAGTAGATTCAAAACAGTTGATTCCCTTTGATAAATTTGAATAGAGAAATGAGAAGACATATTTTGTGAGATAGTACCATTTCGTGCTTTCTCGTCAGTCACATACAAGCAACGTGTTATTTGTGTAAATACAGTTTTGAAGATAAGGTCAAAATTGCTCATTTAGCATGACATTCACTCACTAGAACCATGGTAAACAAAGGTCAACATACAGTTGTTTTTGAACACATAAAGTTGGACTTTTCTGACCAATCAAGATAGCTTCGAGTAGTTTCACTGTGTGTAGGTTTTGATGACATGTCACAACTCTAAAGGCTGATTTTGGGTCAATTTGATGACCACTCATCATTAGATGTTTTGCAATTGACGAGGCTGGGTTTCTTGATCGATTTTGAGATGATAGGCTATGTTGATGAATCATGGATTTGATTAGCCATTTTGGAATATGTTCCCCTATCCTGTCTTTCGATCGGCGATCTGTCCTCTCTAAGTAACTTTCTCCGTAGTTACATGTGAATTGGTAAATACAGTGGGATTTGGACTGAATCGGTCTTGGAGACTTGATTGGGGTAACTGTGATAAGCCTCAGATTAGCTGCATTGAAGGTCTTTTTTATTGCAGCTGCAGTCTGTTTGGTTGTAATTTTCATGCAATGAGTAGAGTTATTGTGATATGAACTGATTATTATAGTCACCATTTTTTTTAAGGGAGTTAGTTTTTCTATGCGATGTGACTGCCAACTCCATGCCCAACCCTCTTCCTTTATTCGGGTTTGGGACCAGCAGTAGCCTTAGAGGGGCTCCAGGTGGAGCTTTTTCATATTTTTATGTTTGAATTAAACACTGAATCGTAAGTATAAAACAAGGCGTAATCTATTTAGGCACATATTTTGATATTAAAAATATTTTTTCAATCATTAATATTTATTTGAACATGTTACAAACGCACACACACTCACATGTTAAATTATTTTTTATACCTTAACATTAAAATAGGCAATATGTGTTACTGATGGTGAACGTATTCTCGGTTTAGGTGATCAAGGTGCTTTTGGTATGGGTATACCAGTTGGTAAATTAGCATTGTATACAGCACTAGCTGGTATACCTCCACATTATTTACTTCCAATCTGTTTAGATGTTGGAACAAATAATGAAGTAAGATTGGATTGGATTGTTTTAATATGATTTTTAGCTGGTTTTAAAATATTGATTTATTGTTTCTGTTGATTATAACCTCTTTATTGCATTGCGGGGTTGTTGTGAAGATTGTTAAGTTTTATTTGTAACCATGAATCGATCAATGTTAGACCATCATTAGAAACCTGGAAGCACTGGACGGCTGTTTCGTCCTGATGAGTCCCATACCAGGACAATCGATAAACATCTATCCAAATATTTATTTCCAAGGGGTCATTTAATATCGTAAATTTATTTTTTGGAGAAGGTTTTGTACACTGATATGATGGACTGTTTCAAGTGAATAAGGCATAACTGGACTATATATTACTTACTTTCGCCTGTTACCCCCAATGGAGCATTGGCCACCGATCAGTATCCTCTGACCTGGGCTTCCCTTCCCAGTTGTGCCCAATTTTCGTTTAATATTCTCATGTCTTTCTCTATTTCTTGGTGTAATGTGTTCTTTGATCTTCCTCTTTCTGTTTGACCTTGTGGGTTCGAAGTAAGGGATTGTTTTGTGATACATCTGGGTGCTTTCCCTACTTTACACTTCCAGAGCTCCCTCCTAATTTCTTTCTCCTCTGAAATCCGGTTTGTCCTCTCTAACAGTAGGCTTTTGTTGATGGTGTTTAGGCACGTCCTGATGAGTCCCATACCAGGACGAAACGGCCGTCCAGTGCTTCTTCCAGGTTTCTAATAGTGGTCTAATATTGATCGATTCATGGTTACAAATAAGACCTCTTTATTGAAACCATAATGAAACCATAAATGAGGCGTTATTGTTAAAGCATCATTAGAGAAATCAAACCTGGAAGCACTAAATGACAACCGTTTCATTCATTTGTGTGTGTCTCTCATCAACAATACGCATCCAAGACTGTTTCGGTCTTGCGCACGGATGCTTAAACTTCTGGTCCACTGAGCTGGCATCTAATGGTGTTAATGTCTAACTAACTCTGATCAATCTAAGATTTTAACGAAACCTCACTCATTGTCTCCGTGCAGAGTTCGTCACTTAGTGTGCTTGAGGCTATTGCGAGTTTGCCTTAGTCGATAAACGCGAACGAGACTTTTACCAGCGTCCAGGTAGGCTACCTTGAATCCCCAAGGCGAGTAAAAAGAGCTTTGTAAGCGTAGAAAGGTATATTCTACAAACACCCAGCAATCACACTATACAATCAAGCTTACAACTCTCGTTTATTTATACAACATAGAAACGTCCTTGAGACAGTTAAGAAAATAGCACACTAAAATACACAGCAGCCAATCACAGCCATGGATTTTCCTGGTGGGAATTGAAATCTCAAGGTCAACTGATCGGCCCATGCTGGCAAACGTGAAATCCAAAATAAGGCATTATCAAGCGAATTTTGGGGATCTAACATCCCCAACACTCCGATAGGTAACTGCCTATACCGAACAGGGTTGAACTACACACCAGTCAAGTCTTCTCATTTGAACTCCAAGAATTTCCTCACAAAGCTAGTAGTCACTAGTGAGCATGATGTTTTGATTTTAAATTCAGCAGTTCATCTTGTAACAAATTTAAATGCTCGCAATATATAGAATTTATATTATCTAATATTAGTAAGTAGATTTTTAACTTTTTATGTGATGAAGTGCTGACCTACCTTTAGGTTTTATTGATGATAATAATCTATGTAGAACTAAACAGAGAATAAAATACACGTTTAAATGTCAGTTAAACGTGTTAGTAAATTATGAATTGAATAATTATTACTAAATAAAATATAACTATAGTGAAAAAAATTATTAGAAATTCATAGAGTGATTTAATGAAATATATATATATATATATATATATATATATATATATATATATATATATATATATATATTAGTGGGACACAGATTGGATTAAAGCATGATTACGATGTTGCACGCTGATTGGCTCTTTCGTATCCAATCAGCGCTAGCCAATACTGAGGGAATATTCTAGAACTTTCTTATGTAAGAAAACTAGGCCCAGGATAGAGTAGGTTTGAGAACGTTGGTCAGTGGCCTATGCTCTATTAGGAGTAATAGGCGTATATAAGTAGTATATATATATATATGTGAACAATTTTAATTCGACCCATAATTGTGTATCTTCAATCAATCAACGATATAACCTGCTCAGTGTTCAAGATTTTATGCGTTCATGTGTGATGGCGAATGTCTTGGGTTACTGTTTTCGCTCACAAAGTTGTGAATGCATACTGTTAATGAGTCCCATACTAGGACAAAACAGACGTCCAGCACTTCCAGGTTGCCGATGATGTTCTAACATTGATCGATTGTTGTGCCAAATGAATGGCTATCTATGTAACTTCATCAAAAATAGTTTTAACTGAAATCATCAACAGAAGTGAAATCAAGTACACGAACCAACGACGGGATCATTCTGCAGTATTTAAAAGACATATTGGAAATTACTGCACGACTACTCAGACCATTTTGGAATTAGTGTAGCGCACTAACCAACCGAATCACTTCAATCAATCCTATGTAAACATCAAAGGACAAAATGACAAAAGAAGGAAAACCAAATATCATTTACAAATTAAACCGCTCAGACTGTGAAAAACACTATATAGGACAAAGTGGACATCTTCTTCAGCTTCGTTTACGTGAGCATCTATTAGCAGTCGAACGCCATGTCATTTCTTCCCGTTTATCAATCAATACGGACAGTTACGGATACACATTCGATTGGAACAATTTCGAAATACTGAATAGAAGATGGAGAGAATTTTTAAGATCTTAGCATTCAAGCTAGTTAATAGTCACATCGGCGTTGATTCAATTTATCAACCAGTCACCGAACTTATCAACAAACGTAGGATAACTAAACAGATCAAAGGAGGATACAATTGAAATAAAGGTGTAGATAACGACAGTCTTATGGTTAGTCACAACTAATCAATATCGAGGTGCACAGCACAAGCTATGATTAATACGTGGAAAAATTCGAATACTTCACTTATTCTACTGGAATTTTGTGTTGATGATGTTGTGTACAACGATGAAAGCTCCATGGCCAAAATATCCTCAGTTCCGAAAAAGAAACTGCACCATAGAATTTGATTAGTTAGACGGACAGACAGATATAACGCAGAACTTCGTACGTAAGTGTACATCAGTTCAGGTTGCCATTCCACATCAGCACAGAGACGTAACTGTCAGTTCAAATCCCAGAGTGACGGTGATAGTAGAAGTATTAGCAGTAATAGAGAAGATTAGGTAGCGAAGATATGATTCGAGAAGTATAATTCAGTGAGATAAATTTAGAAGGAGAAAGATAGGGATTATGAGGAATGCAGAAGGTTAGAATTTCATAGAACACAAAGAGTGGATGCATCTGCGCCATTGCAAACGATTCTGAGTCATTTCGTTTAAGGTCTCTAACCATCGGTGACTCTCGTCTCGCGGACCAGGTAGCCTACATCTACCAACATGACTCAGTCCACTTGTCAGTGACTTCATGGATTTCTGCCATGTTTTGGTTTGACCGCCTCTAGCTTTCTTCCAACCTACTCCTACATCACAAAACATAGCTCGTTGCGGCAGTCGGTGGTTAGCCATACGTAACACGTGTCTCAACCAACTCAACTGATTATTTATGTAAAATCTGACCATAATTTCTAATAAAAGTTTAATTATTCGTTAAACTTGAATTTATCACGAACGTGTATATAAATTTAGCTGTATTGAAATAAATAACAGCAGTAAAACGTTTGATTAAAACTTTTGAAAAAAAAGAATCTTACACGTTCTAATTATCTGTAGTCACATTAATCCGGTTAAACTGAAACTATAAATCAATTATATGGTCTATAGACGTAAAATACATGTTTAGATTGTTGGTTTTCAGTCATCATTGATCAAATTTCATGAAATAACTGAGTGAAGCTAGACAGACTTGACGAATTTTAGTTACTTTACAAACCGTTGATAATTATTTACTCCTGTTATACCGTCGTACAGCATACACCTTCGATCCGATAAGTAATATACAACCAACTCTATCGTGGGTTATCCTTGCCAACTGTTATCAAGCATCGTTCATTTTCTTGTCTTTTTGCTGATCAATTGTGTTCTTTGACCTGCCTCATTGCTTGAGAATTTGATGTTTTCATTAGTAAAAATTTATTCTGAAGTAAACCATTCCTCTGGCTTATTGACGTAGAAGATGCCGATGACATAGTCCTACTTGGTGAAGACGCTGACAAAATGCAGTGTCTACTGACTACCACAAGCAACAATGCATGCATATTTGGGATGCGGTTTTCCCCCTCGAAATGCAAAATGTTACTTCAAGATTGGGTTGCTTCGGCACCTGAACTAGTGATAGGGAGTGAAGTAGTCGAGCTTGTTGACCGCTTCACTTATCTGGGGAGTCTCATCAGTGCTGATGGCCTGGTGACTGACGAAATCTCAGCTCGGATACAGAAGGCTTGATTCGCTTTTGCCAACCTGCGTCACCTATGGCGCAGGCGAGATATCCGTTTGCTGACTAAATGACGCGTGTACTGTGCAGTAGTTCGCTCCGTCTTACTTTATGGCTGTGAAACATGGCCAGTGAGAGTAGAAGATATTCGTAGGTTACGGGTTTTCGATCATAGGTGTCTTCGAAGCATTGCTCGTATATCGTGGGACACCCGAGTGAGCAACGCTGTTATTAGGAATCAGGTGCTAGGTAAGAATGGCAGATCAATAGATGAAGTAGTGAAACTTCATCAGTGGAGGTGGTTGGGACATGTGTTGCGTATGCCTAATCACCGACTGCCTGAACGAGCTTTGTTTTGTAGTGTAGGAGTAGGTCGGAAGAAAGTTAGGGGCGGCTAGACCAAAACATGGCAGCAATCCATGAATTCATCGACAACTGGACTTAGTCATGTCGGTAGTTGTTGACTACGTGGTTGGGGTCCGCTAGATGATAATGGTCGATGGTTATAGACCCTGAATCACATGGCTCCGGTGCATTTATTCTTTGTGTTCGCTCAAATCCTAATCTTCTGGATTATTCAACACCTCTAGTTTTGACTTTCTAAACTTTTCTCATTGAATCATACTTCTTGAATGATATCTTCTAATCCTAACCTCTCCGATTATTTCTAGTACCTTTACTACCTCTACTACTATTGGAATTGAATCGACAATTATATCTCTGTGTGCTAATGTGGTATGGCAATATGAACTGACATACTTACGTACAAAGTTCTACGTTGTACCTGACTGGCTGACTTACTGACTAAACCATTCCTCACTCTCTTAATTGGCAATTAAAGCCCATAAACCTAGTGTCCTATTTAAATAGATATATGGAATAGTTCAATGAAAGATACTTTCAAATAGATATTTGTAATTAAAAATAACTTTCTATTTTAAAGTCATTTACCTAATTTAATCGAAACACCGAAATTATTGAATGAAGATGAAATGAGAAACATTTTTAATGCAAAATATTATCCAGTTTTATGTTATCACTTTGTTGATCAATAAAAATATGTAGTTTAATAATGTGAATAAAATTGAGTCATTTTTTTTAAAAATTAGTTTCATGTTATTTGATTGAATTGATAAATTACGCTAAAATCTAATTAATCAATGCAAAGTAGCACTTTTATTGTTGTTGGAGTTGTGAGCCGAATTATAACGCAGACACCATTTAGTTGTAAGCTCAATTATGTTTTGACTGAATTGATCTTATGTAATGGCATGCTTTGCCCTCAATAGATCTTGATACGGTAGACAGTGTGGGTGGAGTCCGCTCTCACTATCCAAACGCTGTCAGGAAAATTGTTATCACTACCTCCTTGCTGCAAGAGTGTTGAGAGAATGAACGTTCAAGTCTTATGCCTGATTGGCGTATGTGACAGATTCATTTGAGAGAGATGGAAAACTGTGCTTTCAAGCCAATGACAATGCATATAGGCGTCATGGTCCTGATAGTATAAATGACTTATCAACCTATTGCAATTGGTTACCTGCTACATTGGAACTGTATCTCCTGATGTTGTTCCACTGTTTTGTGAAGAAAATCAAACGCTGAAATTTTGACGCGTTGACAGTATTCTACGTATAAACATTCAAGTGCATTTTTTTTGTACCGATGTTTATGTAGTTTCTACAGTAAATAGATGAAAATCTACATTCAAAGAATTCTTATCTCGTTATACCACATTACCATGGAATATGCAATTGTCAATTCAAATCCCATCGTAAAACAGAGGTAGTAGTAGTAATGTAGTGAAGGAGAAAACAGGTAAGGGCAACCGAATTGTATTTAACGAAAATTACATAGTTATTCAGTAAAATAGGAAAACCATATCATAAACCGTTGTTAATTTACAAATCTTCAATCAATCATCAATCCATTGTCTGATATTTCACTATTCATGCGTTTCATACAAATTCCATTGTGTTCCGAACTCTTCCTTTCTTTTATCTCCCCCCATCTTCTCTTCTGCCAGACATTACGTTGACACTCACGTCATATACTACTTATAAGTAGCGCGCACCTCCGGTATGAGCAGTAATCGGAAAGATTAGGGTTTTGAATATGCATTGTTCAACAAGTGTAATCCAGTGAAATAAATTTGAGAAGAGAAGGATAAAGGTCATGAGGAATTCAGGTTAGAATTTGAGGTGACACAAAGAATGGACGCATCTGTGTCATTGCTAACGATCTTGAGCCATTTTATTCAAGCTCTTACGGACTTGAATTATTTTTTCTGGTTAGCGTTTTTTTGGCAAGTGTTTATTAACAGCTGTCTACGCAAAATACTTCGTATTCGTTGGCCAGACACCATCAGCAACAACGAACTGTGGGAGAGAACAAGTCAGATTCCAGTGGAGGAGGAAATCAGGAAGAAGCGGTGGAAGTGTATAGGACATACACTACGAAAAGCACCCAACTGCGTCACGAGACAAGCCCTCACATGGAACCCTCAAGGCAAAAGGAAAAGAGGAAGGCCAAGGAACACACTACGCCGAGAAACAAAGAAAGATATGAGAGGAATGAACAAACATTGGACAGAACTGGAGAGGGAAGCCCAGGACAGAGTTGGTTGGAGAAAACTGGTCGGCGGCGTATGCTCCATTGTGGGTAACAGGCGTAAGAAAGTAAGTAAGTAAGTAAGTCTTACGGACTTCAACCAGGTAGTCTACATGTAACAACATGACTCAGTCCAGTTGTCTGTGACTTCATGCATTTGTTTCATGTGTTTTTGGTTTGGCCACTCCTAGCTTTCTTCCAATCCACTCCTACGCTAAAAAAAACATTACTCGTAGTGGCAGTCAGTCAGTCAGTTGCAACGTAAGAACTTCGTACGTATGTACATAAGTTTATGTTGCCATACCACATCAACACAGAGATATAATTGTCAATTCAAATCCAATAGTAGTAAAGGTAGTAAAGGTATTACAAGTAATCGGAGAGGTTATGATTAGAAGATATTATTCAAGAAGTATGATTCAGTGAGCTAAGTTTAGAAAGACAAAGGTAGAGGTGTTGACGAATCCAGATGATTAGGATTTGAGAGAGCACAATGAATGGATGCACTTGCGCCATTGCAAACGATTTTGAGCCATGTCGTTCAAGGTCTCTAACCATTGGTGACTTTCGTTTCGCAGACCCCAACCAGGTAGTCTACATCTACCAGCATGACTCAGTCCATTTGTCAATGATTTCATGGATTTGTGCCATGTTTTGGTGTGGCCGCCCCTAGCTTTCTTCCAATCTACTACTACACCCGTAGTGGCTGTCGCTAGTTGGACATACGTAACACATGTTTCAATAGCCATTTAGATCGACTTGATCTTCCCACTAATATAATATAGTAAGCAATGGATTAGTACCTCAAATATCCTATAAACTACACTGTAGTACAATAGTTTTTGTGTCAAATAATAATGAAACAAATTAATTACTCTATTCTTTTTCTCATTTAGAAACATTTAAATGATGCAACATATTTTGGTTTGAAACAAAAACGTGTTACAGGTGATGAATATGATGAGTTTATTGATGAGTTTATGAAAGCATGTATTAATGTGTAAGTTATTTCTTACTTACTTACTTACTTACTTACTTACTTACTTATGCACTTACTTACTTACTTATGCATTTACTTACTTACTTACTTATGCACTTATGCACTTATGCACTTACTTACTTACTTACCTTACCTTATTTATGCCTGTTACTCTTAATGGTAGATAGAACATAGGTTGTCGACCAGTGAATTACTTTTCTGAGTATCGTTTTATTTTTTTGGCGAGTTGGATTTTTACGGGATAGGATCGCCAACCCCTATGCCCAACCCTCCTTTGGGACTGGTAGCAACCCTAGAACGGCTGCAGTTGAAGTTGCATAGATTAAGATTTTTAAACGGTTGTTGAAGTAGTGAGTCTCTATCAGTCGACATGGATTAAGACATGTGTTACTTATGCCCGACCATTGACTACTTCGATGATAGATGTTGTTTGACCAAGGAGTAGGCTGGGAAAAAGCTAAGGGTGGCCAAACCAAATCATGGCACAAATCCATGATGTCACTTACAACTGGATTGATCTATATTAGTAGCTGTAGACCAACTGTTTTTGGAGTCCACGAGACAACGGTAACCGGTGGTTAGAGACTTTGAATGATATGCAATCATTCTACGTCTTCTCTCAAATTCTAATGTAATTTGTTGATAAACTTTTTCAAATGTAGTACACTAGCCATTAGAAACCTGAAAGCACTGGACGGTCGTTTCGTCCTGGTGTATGGGACTCAGTGCTCAGTGTGCATCCACGACTCTTGCACTTCGCAGGATTCGAACCCGGGACCTTCGGTATTGTGCGCGAACGCCTAACCATTTTAAATGTGTAAAAACACAAACCTCCAAAAACTCTGCCCGAAAAAATTATTACACTAGAATATACTTGTCGAATCGTTTGCTTGATTTCTAATCTTTTCGATTAAATCTTATTGGAAATCCAAACAGGATATTGAATTTCCACTATCATGTTGTTTCGGGTTCTTATCACTGTCTTACTGCATCATACATTTCGTTGTTCAGACATTTCCCACTCTCTCTCTCTGTTAGCTGTTATGAATGCACATGACCCCGTCACCTGATATGCTTGAACTATGACGGGTTCACCTTAGTCGGTAAATGAGAGCGAGGATCGACAACCGGCTACCCTAATCTGAGCGTCCTAAACCCCCATTAAGTAGAAGAAGACTTGATGTGAAGTAGAAAGTATATTCTACAAACATCCAGAAAGCACATTGTCTGAGTCCAAAAGAGGATAAGGATCTCGGATTAAGGATGCGGATCACAAAACATCACAGATAATGCATATTTATACAGTTAGATCGAATAGGAGACAACATTTGAAGTAAATGACATTGATAGTTAAGATGACCATGATCATTAAACTTACAAATAATTCTCTTAGGATATTTGATGAATATCCTAACATAAGCAACTTCCACTCAACTCTCTGCCACATATTACTAATTCTTGATGCACTCAATCAGTATCAAGCAAATTTCCTACTTTTATCATTCTTACTCAAAATCTCATATGACAATATACATTCAGCACCTGACCGCCAGTTAATATTGAAGTTAAACGTTATTCGACGTTGGCTCAAGGGTCTAGTGGCTCAGCGTTCGTACGTGAGAGACCCGAATGTCTTCAATGCAATGTACGAGTGCGGATTGTAGGTGGGCATTACGGTTGACTCTCATACTTCAAGTCAAAACAGTCATTTTCAGGGTTGCGCAAATTAATTATCCAACATTGAACAATTCATGATTCCAGTCTGGAATAATTCTATAAGTGTAATCTCTTTTTCTCAAATATATATATATATATATATATATATATATATATATATATGTGTACATATTTTTAGATTTGGTCAACATGTTCTAATACAATTTGAAGATTTTGCTAATCAGAATGCATTTCGTTTATTACAAAAATATTCTGCGCACTATTGTACATTCAATGATGATATACAAGTAAGTTGATGATAGTTTAGTCATTAAAGAAATCGATAAAAAAATATCTGTTTACATTATTATACTACTAAATGTTACTACTACTAATACTACTACTACTAATACTCTGACTACTACTACTACCACGACTACTACTATCACTACTGTAGTGAAGGAGAACACAGGTGGGACAACCAGGTTGTATTTAACGGAAATCACAGAGTTACTCAGTAAAATCGGAAAACCATATCGTAAATCGTTAATTTGCAAACTATCAATTCATCATATCGAACTGGACTGTTCCTGTTGCAAAATATCAATCCATTGTCACTATTCATGCGTTTCATACAAATTCCATTGTGTTCCGAACTCTTCCTTTCTTGATCTTCCCCCATCTTTGGCTGCCAGACATTACGTTGGCGCTCACGTCATATACTACTTATAAGTAGCTCGCACCACACTACTACTACTATTACAACTACAACGAATTTTGATATAGGATTAGATGGGATGTGGCTAATGGTAGAATCCAGGCTATATGTTTCTTTCAATTTGTTACTTGTGAATTATATGTGGCTTGATTCATTCCAGCATTATGATAAATATTGTCCTTATTGATCGCTTCTCCTTCGATAATAACTATAAAATTAAAGAAAAAGATCATGTTGTTAAGTCTATGGAAGTTTTGGCAGAAAACAATTATTTCATAAGGGATACTACCCCTCTAACTCCCAGGTCTTATATGGTCGAAAAATGAAAAATTTCGGAAACGGGGAAAAAATCATTGCACGACATGAGACAAAGTGTAATAGAAGTGCAGTAAGCTGGGCTGCCTCTTCTACTATCCTACGCCATATATGTGTACACCATATGCTGTACTTCTATATAGAGCTGAAGGTCTCCTATGAGCTTAGAGGTTCGTTGTGAATATTGTGGATGGCTTTGCTTTGTTTTGGTAAGCATTGTTAACAGTCCATAAACAAAATCGGTTCACAGGGTGACCGATTTCATTGATATTGATGGTGGTTGTTTTGTGACATTCCCAAGAGCCATTGTCATTGGGGTGCTGTAGTGCAGCAAATCACCATTGCTAATAATAATGAGTTTGACAGTCATGTAAGCAGGATGTGTTGAATTGGCCTGTGTTCATGCGGTGCATATTGATTGACGCGATCATTGATCGGAAATATATAAACCATTGTGTGTATATATGTAACTGGTGTGAATGGTCCACCAGGGTATCAGGAACCTGTGTGTTAGTTGCACCATAGGATTGAGCCAAACTGTTCATGTACTAATGGTAAAACGTGTCCAGTCTCTTTGGTTCTCCTGCAAAACCAATGTAAAATTGCTCTTGACAATATACAAAGTAAATTTATATCATTGTGAAAATTTATGAATGATTTTATAAATTGTGATATCTAGTAATGCATCGTCAGTCAGATTATCAACTGTAAATCGATTTATCACACGTTCACTATTTATTGGATAGCTTTGATTTATCTAAGCAGATCAGTTATACAAGGGACTAGGACTAATTCACTTTGAGTTATTCACTAAATTTCATTTGGTCTATTACTCGCTAGCTTCATTCTATCACCTATCACCTATTGGACATCATATTATCGATGCAATATTGTAAATTTATTGCAAACAGTAATGTTGTTGGGGATGTTAGATGCCCAGAAGTCGCTTGATCAATATCTTTATTTTGGATTTATTTCATGGACCGATCAGTTGACCGTGAGATCACATTTCCCACCAGGAAAATACTTCGCTGTGATTGGTTACTGTGTCATTTTGGTGGGCTATTTTCGTGACTCTTCCAAGGACGTCTCTATAGAGTATGAATAAACGCAATTTGAGTGCTTGGATTTATTGTGTACTGTCTGGGTGTTTGTAGAATACCCTTTCCACGTTATATCAAGACTTTTCGCTGATACACTTGGGTCAAGTGATCATAGTAGCCTACCTGGACACTGGTTCATTGTTTTGTTTTCGTTATTCAACTGAGATGAACTCGTAATAGTTTAAGCATACCTATAGATGGGCGTAACAAATGTAGAATCTAAACTGTCGTTTGGACGGAGGAATAACTGTCTTGGTGGTTTAGATACGCGCGCCTCGTTCAAACCTAAGCAAGTGATTTGGGTGAATGACAGTTCCAATATTCATCATAAATATAAATGTACATCATTAACGTAAACAAATATTACCACTCAGTTATTCCACCAACAATTGTTCAATTATTTATATCAACAGTAACAAATAAATGTTATTCTATCCTCTCTGGATAAATCAGATTCGTTCAATAGATAATATTTGGTTGTTTTATAACACAGAGTGCTTCAATTCACAATCAAAATGAACACTTCCAGTCAAAGCAAGCGATGCTATCAAAAGACGAACAAATCAATATGGCTGTCGCCATGACTAAGTATCAGCTTAAACAACATAAATGCAGTTCAGAAATAAACATAGAAACTCAGTGAACATAAAAGAAATAGAAACTATGATATAATATTTTTTTGAAACCATGAATCGATCGATGTTAGACCACCATTAGAAACCTGAAAGCACTGAAAGACGGCCGTCTCGTCCTGGTATGGGAGTCATCAGCAGTGCACATCCACGACTCCTGCACCCCGCAGGATTCGAACCCAGGAACTTTGGTATTGTGCGCGCACGCCCTAACCGTTAGAACACTGAGCCGTTATCTAGTGGTGTTAATGTCTAACTTGATCAAATTCACGGAGTTGCGCAACCTCATACAAATATTGCCATCTCAGAATGCAATCGAACAGATTAACAAAATGTACACCTGTAGGAATCATTTAGGGACAAATAACGAAAGTATACATGGAGGAATTTTCACAAACAAAGCCTTCAAAAAATGAATCTTACAATCATGATGGAGTATTCAATTTCGATAAAAGCTTTTGAAGGAGATTTAACCCCTCCTTATCTGAAACTCTAATTCAAGGTTCTGAACATTTAATTTCCAGGTTGACTCCCTTGAATCAATTGAAAAACTATATATTTTCATTACAGGGTGTTGTGAAGATAGGTAAGTTACACATTTTTGAAACCATGAATCAATCAATATTAGACCACCATTATGAAACCTGAAGCACTGAGATGGCCGTTTCGTCCTGGTGTGGGACTCCTCAGCAAGTGCGCATCCACGACTCCTGCATCCCGCAGGGTCTACCAAAGACTGTGTATGAGGTGGCGCAACTCCGTGAATTTGATCAAGTTAGACATTAACACGTTAGGATACCGGCTTAGTGGTCTGTCGGTTAGGACGTTCGCGCACAATACCGGAAGGTCCTGGGTCGCGAATCCTGCAGAATGCAGGAGTCGTGAATGCGCACTGCACTGAGGAGTCCCATACCAGGACGAAACGGCCGTCTTTCCAGTGCTTCTTCCAGGTTTCTAATGGTGGTTGGTCTAACATTGATCGATCATCGGTTTCAGAAAATGTGAAACTATGTATTGTCAAATAACTCATCTGTGTTCAATGAAACTCCGCACTAATTGATTAATCTAAGTAAAAAGAAACTGTTGTTGATGTTTCTGTCTCTCTGCTTATTATTCTATTCAAATTATTGTATACTACTCTACTCGAGTGCATTTTTTTTTATAATCTCATCTACTATTCCTTCTACCAGGGTACAGCATCTGTTGTCTTAGCTGCATTGTTAGCATCATTAAAATTAACTGGTCGAAAATTAATCAATGAGAAATTGGTGTGTTATGGTGCAGGTGAAGCAAATCTTGGTTTTGTACAACTTGTTTGTTTAGCATTAATAAAACAATATGGTTTGTCAATGGAACAAGCCCGTGAAAATATTTATCTTATTGATAGTAAAGGTTTAATAGTCGCAAATCGTAAAGCTGGCGGTTTAACTAAACATAAGCTACAATTTGCTCGTCCTATTGGTACACCAGAATTAACATGTTTAACAGAGGTAGGTGATTGTCTTTTTTTCACATTCTAAAAATTTTCATCATGAATTATTTGATGAAAGCATTTGAGGTGTTGTAAGGAAAAAGCAAAAAATTCTCCGATGCAACACACAACATGCATCAATCAAATCACTCTTGATGGAGATGCTTTGGAGGACGTTAACACCTTTACATATCTGATCGGCATCATCATCGACAATCAAGATGGATCCGATGTAGATGTGAATGCACGGATTGGCAAAGCAAGGGTTGCATTTCTACAATTGAAAAATATCTGGAACTACAAACAACTTTCAACCAAAGTCAAAATCAGCATTTTCAATACAAATGTCAAGACAGTTCTACTGTATAGAGTGGAAACATGGAGAACTACGAAAGGCATCATTCAGAAGATACAAGTGTTTGTTAACAGTTGGCCAGACACGATCAGCACACAACGTACTGTGGGAGAAAACAAACCAGATTCCAGTGGAGGAGGAAATCAGGAAGAAGCGGTGGAAGTGGATAGGACACATATTGCGGAAAGCATCTAACTGCGTCACAAGAGAAGCCCTCACATGGAACCCTCAAGGTGAAAATAAAAGAGGAAGTCCAAGGAACACGTTACATCGAGAAATAGAGAAAGATATGAGAGGAATGAACAAACATTGGACAGAACTGGAGAGGGAAGCGCAGGACAGAGTGGGTTGGAGAAAACTGGTGGGTGGCCTATGCTCCATTGGGGGTAACAGGCGTAAGGAAGAATTTGAGATGTTGTATTAGTCAACATGAACTATTGAACGTTGAACAGATTTCAATTTGATGTTAGTTTGTTTAAACAATAAAAGTATCATTTTTTTCTCAGTTTCACTTGGAAGATTCTAGAAGAGAAGAATTAAGTGTAAATACTCGTTTGAAGGTGATTAACCCTTTTGATAGTTGAGTACAAATGAAGAAGTATTTTTCTTATTAAAAAATATTTTCTAAGCGGAGTTTCTGATGAACAATAAGCTTCACAAGTGAAGAAACACTTCCAAAAATCAGCACAAAGCGAAAAAGTAATCTGAAGTTTGATAATTCGTGTGCAAATCAAATGTGCAAACCAATTTATAAGACATAATTATGATTCGTTCTCTTTTCATTATCTAATATTTGATATCGATTTCACGAGCTAGTATAAACCAATTGATTTGTTTACGCTCGATTCTTGTTCATTCTTTACAGTTCTGGGTGTTTGGTAGTGTCCAATGAATGTGGGGTTGTCTATATATATGTATTTATATCTGTGTGTAAACAGAATTGAGCTTATTTCATGATAAAATTCGAGTACAAACATAAAATAAACTGAGACAATAATCTCAGTTGAATTTTGAAACTGATAAGATGGATAATGTCTGATAAATTATCGAGAAGTTTTAGAAAAGTTCATCCAAAAATATTCAATCCGTTGTCTAGACTTAGGGGTTTTTTGAAAGATTACTTTTAATAAACATGCTTGATTGAAAAGTCAGTCAGTCAGTCAGTCAGATGCAACGTAGAACTTCGTACGTAAGTACATCAGTTCATGTTGCCATACCACATCAGCACAGAGATATAATTGTCAATTCAAATCCAATAGTAGAAGAGGTAGTAAAGGTATTAGAAGTAATCCGAGAGGTTAGGATTAGAAGATATTATTCAAGAAATATGGTTCAGTGAGAAAAGTTTAGAAAGTCAAAACTAGAAAGGGTTGAAGAATCCAGAAGATTAGGATTTGAGAGAACACAAAGAATAATTGCATCGGTGCCATTACAAACGGTTTTGATCCATGTCATTCTCTTTCCATTATCTAATATTTGATATCGATTTCACGAGCTAGTATAAACCAATTGATTTGTTTACGCTCGATTCTTGTTCATTCTTTACAGTTCTGGGTGTTTGGTAGTGTCCAATGAATGTGGGGTTGTCTATATATATGTATTTATATCTGTGTGTAAACAGAATTGAGCTTATTTCATGATAAAATTCGAGTACAAACATAAAATAAACTGAGACAATAATCTCAGTTGAATTTTGAAACTGATAAGATGGATAATGTCTGATAAATTATCGAGAAGTTTTAGAAAAGTTCATCCAAAAATATTCAATCCGTTGTCTAGACTTAGGGGTTTTTTGAAAGATTACTTTTAATAAACATGCTTGATTGAAAAGTCAGTCAGTCAGTCAGTCAGTTGCAACGTAGAACTTTGTACCTATGTACATAAGTTCATGTTGCCATACCACATTATTGGCACAGAGACGCAAATGTCAAATCAAATCCCATAGTGATAAAGATAGTAGAGGTATTAATGTTAATAAAGAAGACTAGGGTTCGAAGATATTATTCAAAAAATATAATTCAGTGAGATAAGGTTAGAAAGACAAAGGTAGAGGTGCTGATGAATCCAGAAGATTAGGATTTGAGAGAGCTCAAAGAGTGGATGCACCTGCGCCATTGCAAACGATTTTGAGCCATGTCGTTCAAGGTCTCTAACCATTGATGACTTTCGTCTCGCGGACCCCAACCAGGTAGTCGACAACTACCAACATGACTCAGTCCACTTGTCAATGACTTCATGGATTTCTGCCATGTTTTGGTTTGGCCGCCTCTTGATTGAAAAGGATTTACACAAAGTGTTGAGAAGTAAATCAATGAAACAGTTGATTGTCGAGTACGTGGAATATGGATTAGTGTAGTGTAGTTTGTATGAGAAAGTGAACGCAAATAAAATGACCACAATAATTCGTCCCGTCATCATTGTTTATGGTTTTACATAATATATTTTCTTCTTACACTTTAGTCTACTTGAATAGTTGTAAGTAGTTGATGAAAAAAACAACAAAGTACAAATGAATTCTTATGATTCTATCTGAATTGATGTTTTGTCCTTACTTAAATTCGTAAAAGGAATAAACTGTATAAGTCAATCAGTCAGTCAGTTTAATACTTCGACGCTTAACGTAATACTTCGACGCTTAACGAAAGCTCGTGAAGAGCAGACTCGAGAAAACCAGGCTGGTTTTCGACCTGGACGTGGCTGTATAGACCACATTTTCACACTACGACAGGTCCTGGAACACAGACACACATTTAGGCGTCCTACAATAGTTGTTTTCCTGGACCTTGAGGCGGCATTTGACTCAGTGGATCGTGAGGTTCTGTGGCAGTGTCTGTCATTGAAAGGTGTACCAAATAAGTACATTAACCTCATACAAGCTCTCTACTCAAACACCACTGGTCGAGTGAGAGCTTATGGCGAACTGTCACCGGAATTCTCTACATCAAGTGGTGTCCGTCAGGGATGTCCACTCTCTCCATTCTTGTTTAATTTTATCATAGACATGCTCCTAGAAATAACCTTATCCTCGTCGACTCCCTCGTCGAGCTTTGTTTTGTAGTGTAGGAATAGGTTGGAACAAAGCTAGGGGAGGCCAGACCAAAACATGGCAGAAATCCATGAAGTCATTGACTAGTGGACTGAGCCATGTCGGTAATTGTCGACTACCTGGTTGGGGTCCGCGAGATGATAATAATCGATGGCTAGAGACCTTGAATGACATGGCTCAAAATCGTTCGCAATGGCGCCAGTGCATTTATTCTTTGTGTTCTCTCAAATCCTAATCTTCTGGATTCTTCAACACCTCTAGTTTTGACTTTCTAAACTTATCTCATTTAATCATACTTCATGAATAATATCTCCTAATCCTAACCTCTCTGATTACTTCTAATACCTTTAGTACCTCTTCTACTATTGGATTTGAATTGACAATTATATCTCTGTGCTGATGTGGTATGGCGACATGAACTGATGTACTTACGTACGAAGTTCTACGTTGCATCTGACTGACTGACTGAGTCAGTCAGTTGCAACGTAGAACTTCGTACGTAAGTACATCAGTTCAGTTTGTCATACCACATTAGCACACAGACGTAACTGTCAGTTCGAATCCCATATAGTGGTAGATGTTGTACAAGTATTGCCGGTTTCTAAGATATTATTCAAGAAGTAAAGTTCAGTGAGATAACTTTTGAAAGAAAACAATGGAGATGATAGGGAATTAAGAAGATTTTGAGCCATGTCGTTCAAGGTCTCTAACAAACAGTTATTATCGTCTCACGGAACGTAACCAGGTAGTTTACATCTACCAACATGGCTCAATTCATTTGTGAGTGACTTCATGGGATTGTGGCATATTTTAGTTCTGTATGCATGCTGAGATTTCGTCAGTTGCCGTGCCATTAGCACTGATGAGACTGCTCAGAGAGCTACATCTTCCCACTAGAACTCGGAGAAGATTCCTCACAAGGCTAGTCACTATTGAGCACAGGTAATTTGCGTTACGGGGTTGTGAAGATTGTTCAGTTACACATTTTTGAAACCATGAATCGATCAATGTTAGACCAACCACCATTAGAAACCTGGAAGAAGCACTGAAAGACGGCCGTTTCGTCCTGGTATGGGACTCCTCAGTGGCAGTGCGCGCATCCACGACTCCTGCACCCCGCAGGATTCGAACCCAGGATCTTCGGTATTGTAAGCGAACGCTGTCCAGTGATCCAGGTTTCTTTCTGATGGTGGTCTAACATTGATCGATTCATGGTTTCACAAAAAAACTTTACATTAAACAGTTTTTTTTATAAAAAAAAATCAATTATTTTTCGGATTAGATTATTAAATATGCCAAGTGTACAACATTAATTGGGGCTGCTGCAATCCCGAAAGTATTTGATAAGAAAGTTTTAAATCTGATGGCTGAATTAAATGAAATACCAGTGATCATGGCGCTGAGTAATCCAACAACGAAAGCTGAATGTACAGCTGAAGAAGCTTATATACATACACATGTAAGTTGCATTCAATAATTTTAGTGTAATTAAATTCTATTTGTTGCGCCTGCACGTAAAT